CACTTTATCTGCCTTCTTCACAGTCACAGCAATCTCTTTGATCTTGTTAACTGCCTGCCAAGAACAAAAGTTGAATGAGTCTTTCATGCTAAAGACAAACTGCTGAAGTGGACCCCAATCTCTCATTAGTCCTGAGTCTACTTACTCCCAAATCCTAAGCATTTCTACTCTACAGCTGAAACAACACTTCTAGGTCTTGTAACTGCTCAGAAAAATGTAAACCTCTATACTTCAGAAAATTCCAAAAGTCAGAAATGTAGAGTGGGCATATAGTTCTGAAGAATCAGGGTGCTTCCAAGATTTCACTCTGGGTCTGCAGGTAACACACTACAACAAATGAGTGGAAACAGCTGTGACACAAGATTAAGCCAAACCTAGTTTACTAAAAATACCTATGAAAACTTCTAGCACTTTATATATTAGTTACATATAAAATACACATACAAATATATAAACTTTTTATCTTTTCCAAAGTACTCCTCATATATTATTTCATTTTAAGGTCATCACTCAAACTAGAGATAGCAATGAGAGAAAGTAAGGCCTAGAGAGAGTAATGATTTACCCCAGATCAGAAATGAAGGTTAGAGGGCAAATAATAGCTAGGTCTCAATATGCACCATGAGGTACTTGACAAAAACAAAAACTAGACCTTACTTACTAAGAAACATCATAGCCTGGTAGACTTAACCTGAGGCTTAATGAGGTTAAGTAAGATACCTCATCAAATAGCTACAGAATGGTAGAACTGAGATTACTAGGGAGACATCAGAAAATGTCTAAAATACCCTGTTCCCAGTCCCTCCACACTCCAGGAAAGAGTACTGCCATACCAGCTGGGTGGCTGTGCGGAAAGCTCGAATGATGATCTGGGGGTGTAAACCTTCCTCCACATAGGGTTTCACCTGCTTCAGAAACTCTGCAGCAAGCAAGGTCACTGAGGTGGTGCCATCACCCACCTGGAAGATAATGACAGGAAATACACGTTTTCTGATGTTCAAGGAATAAAGCCCTGAAACTCCATTTTTAGGCATGCTACCCATTTAAATTGAGTATTGTTTAAATGGATGTCAAGCTTTTTCTGGAAGCACAGGTTTTCACAACAAGTAGAAAGAAGGACATCAAATAGTCCTGGGCTACAAAATTAATTCCCCAGAAAGCCCCATTCTCTAAAGAGGGCTGATATGGACAACCAAATTTTTTCAGGGTATAAAATCAGACAAATAAATGAGAACTTACTTGTTATGTACAAAGCATTGCGATGAATAAGACAGTCCTTGCCGTGCTTATAATACAATGTTTACAAAATAATCATGGTACCAAGAAGCATGAGATAAACTATTCTTTAAGAAGCAAAAAGTGGCCTGGCGCAGTGGCTCATGCCTGTAATGCCAGCACTTTGGGAGGCCGAGGCAGGCGGATCACCTGAGGTCAGGAGTTTAAGACCAGCCTGGCCAACATGGTGAAACCTCGTCTCAAAAAAAAGAAAAAAAAAGAGTGAGGCCACGCACGGTGGCTTACAACTGTAATCCCAGAACTTTGGGAGGTCAAGGCGGGTGGGATCACAAGGTCAGGAGTTTGAGACCAGCCTTGTCAACATTGTGAAACCCCATCTCTACTAAAGATACAAAAAATTAGCCGGGCATGGTGGCGCACA